GGGAGACCTTCCCTCCCCCTCCAGAGAGCCCATGCAGGGAGAGAGGAGGCGGGATGGTTTGAATGCGGGTGGGCAGTTTGTGGCTGGTGTCTCCTTCATTTGTTGGGGTGGGTACAGCAAGACACATATCATACCAGTGCTTGCACCGCCTGCCTGGGTGAAGACAGTGCGTCGTTGGGTGAGTTTTTCTTCTCTCTCTCTCTCTGTCTCTCTCTTCGCCCACCTGCCTGCCTCCTGCTGCTTTTCCTCCCACTCCTCCCCTGTGTTGCCTGGTCACAAAGGCTGAAGAAATGATGGGGGGCGGTTAAGCAGAGACAAGAGGACACCCAGAGGGGCGCTCTGCTTCGCCCTTGGTGGCGAGGGCTTCTTTATCACATGCCTCCTTTCTTTCTCTGGTCCCTCTCCTTCCCTCAGTTCCCCTGGCAGTATCCGGCAGTAGCAATCAAGGGAAGGAGAGGACCCAGAAAATGAATCAGGTGTGGCGCAACTGTTGCGAAGAAGATGCAGCTCTGGGTGTGCCACACCTACTTCATTCTCTTTGAAAGCCACTTTACACCTTGCAAACCTGCTGCTTGGAATTCACCACTGCTGTCCCCCCCCCCCGCCACCACTTGGAGCTCCAGGTGACTGGTGAAAGGTGAGTGAAGATCTCCCTCAGCGTTTTTCCCGCCAGTGGAAAAAGTGCTAAGAGCTCACCCCTGCTTCCCCGCCCACCGCTTGGAACTCCAAGGGGGGGCTACAAAGCTGGCGGTGGAGAGGGGGGCCTAGGCTAGTGCGAATGCTTACCTGTGTGTAGGCAGAAGGAGGCAGTTCTTTTTTTTTAATAATTTTTTTTATTACATAAACAACACATACACACAATAATAAAAGAAAAAGAAAACAAAACAAAAAACAAAAAAAGCACACACACACAAAAACCATCATCACATACAGCATGTCGTTTGGTTACAAGTATTTTAACATTTATCATTCTTATACATTTATTATTTCATTTAATAGGTTATAATATACTGTTTGGGTTGCTTTGTTTACCATCCCTTCCTCCTGTTATTTTCCCTTTCTTTTCTCCCTCCCTCCCTTCTCTCCTTTCTTCCTTCCTCCTCTCCTTTCCCTTCCATCTTCCTGTACCTTTCTCCTACTCCTGCTCTTCCTCTTCCCCTTCCTACTCTTTCTCCTCCTCTTTCTCTCCTGTCCATCCTCCTCTCCTTACCTCTTTCTTTTCACCCTCTCTCCTGGAGGAGGCAGTTCTGTGGATGCACGTGGCAAAGGCGAGGCAGGGGGAGTGTTGGAGCAGGCCTGTTCGGGGGCATGGCCAGCCAGCCATCACTACTGGTTTGGTGACCCAGGCCCACTACCATTTTGCCTGAACCAGTCCGAACCAGGAGCAACCCACCTCTGCCCTGGGTCTGCTAGTCTCTTTCTGACATGTGTTATATAGATGAAGTTTCTGGCTCTATAACTTAACCAGTTAAGTTTTTTACGTGATAACTGCCTTTGTCCTTCATTGTATATAGACAGAATGGGTGAATTTTTTTTCCAATCATTGAGATGCTGCTGATTTTCAGAGTCCAGATATCTATTTTAAAATTTTATATTTTTATCCAGAATGCTTTTTGCTATTTAAAATTTGCCTCCCATATATGCTAGTATTATTAAGAACAGTGTTATCATCATTCTGTCTTTGTTAACTTTAGGGCAAATTGATTACAAGCCTGAGTCAGTAAGATAACATGTTCTAGTAGCAGAGAGGAAACAATGTGAAATGTACATATCGATCTCTATTTGTTAAGCAATAGCTTGATGAAGAAACCATAGTAACTTAGTTCACACATAATGCAAATTCCCAAATGCAAGCCATAATAGCTAGGTTCACAAATCACATTATGCCATAACGAGACAAGGAATGAAGATACAATTTAAGCCTGGTTTTGGTAGATCAGTTTTGGCGGACAAAAATTAATACTTGGAGGATGGATGGAGACTTGGAAGTGGAAGGATTACAATAGAGTCAAGTAGATTTACTGCTAATAATTTTTCACCAACTGTTGTTTCCATTCTTGCTTATCATTATTCTTCTGAACACAGAGGCAGTAGCTTTCCTATGGCCATGGCACAAATGATGGACGAAAGGGTATGAGCAAAAAAAGGAAAAATATTGATCATTTGGATTAAATCAAAATATCCATACTCCTACAGATTTATGCAGAGGGATTTTGGCCCCCAAAATCCAGTCTATCAGCAACATTTCCCTTGGTTTCCCCAGTTCATTGCTTTACTTGATTTTATTTAAAAAAAATATTTTAATTTTCAAAAATGAAAGGACAGTTACTGTACTGCAGTGCAAAATGCTGGCATTCAGAATGTCACTGGATAGCCTACAGATCCCAGAGGTGTAATTAGGAACACCTCAGTGATTCATTTGGAAAGTATCCAAAATTTTGAAGTTGTAAAGAGCTAGAAAGTATAGTGGGGTATAGTCTCATCAATTTACTTTTAGGTTACTTGTGATTATGACTGATTACTCATTTCAGGACAATCTATCATATAGTGGTTGGGACAGTAATATATACTATGTACTCTTAATTAATATCTAGTCTGCATATATAGTTGTGGTAATACTGATACCCATTTGATCATTTTCTCCTGGCTAAAGTAATGGAAGTAATGGAACAATCAAAGCCCTACTCTTCTAATATGTTTCAGGAAACATGATTTTAAAAGGGTGTGTGTGTCTTGATCACTCTGTCATAGCCAACTTTCCCCACTCCCAGCAGATGCCTCTGGTTGGGAGAGCAATTTTCTTTCATTTGTTCCACGCAACACCCAGGGTGACTCTCTAGATATGATCATAGTTGCTAGCACCAGGAAAATCTTGGCCAATGCCGCCAAGCTGTTCATTTTAAAGTGCACAAAAAAGCAGCAAGCAAAACATTCCCTCTTGGAGTACAGGCTGACTTTTTTCTCCATTGTCATGCTAAAAATCAGGAATGCCACTGTGTTTACTTGGCAGGGTGACTAACTGATAGCCAGGTGCTTTTCAGAGAGATGCACTCTAGTTACTAGAGTGCGTGTGTGTATGCGTCAAGCCTTCACAACACTTCCACTATTTTAGGAATTTATCAGTCTCCTTCTAACAAAAATTATGTCAGAGTTCCAAGTAACAAACCCAAAGCAATCAAAACTCTGAGGCCTAGAGTTTCCTCAAGGCGTAAAGCCCAGAGCCCAATGATTGTACTTCTGTAATTGAATATGTAAATTCCTGTGGTGCTGGGGCATTTGAGTGACAGTGCTTTTGCTTCACACTGGTACCCAAGACAATAGCCCGATCTCCAAGATGGCCTCTAGAAACCATAAGCAATATAAATGGCAATTTGCTGAGGAAGTCATTTTCTTGAAGCTGACAGAGTTATACCCAAAAAAGCCCTTAAACACATCATGAGCCTGAACTGGCAGTGGCAGCGGCTGCTGCTTCTCCTCCTCTGTCTGATGAGTGCAGTTTGCCAACACCTGCTGAGGTACATAAATGTTGAAACAGTGTTAGCAGCTGTGACAAACTCTTTCCAGCAGTTGTCTTTACAGAACTCTGATGACATTCTCTCAAAGGTCCTTGTCAATTCTCATTCTCTAGAGGTTCCGAACTTGTTGGCAGGGCTTAAATTTCTCTTCACAACATGCCAGTAAAGAGAGAATCACTATTATTATGATTGTATCCGGCTGAGGATAAAATTACTTTGGCAGTTTTTCCTGCCTTACAATTTTATCCAGGGGCTTTGCTGTTCTTTTTTAAATGTCATTAAATGAGTGGCTGTGCTCCTTTCTTTGCTAACTAATTGCCTCTAACTTGCTATTATCATTCACAGCAAATGTAGCTCAATTTCTCAAAGAGTTAGGAGATATGATCCATTCCTAGTATTGGTGTGAGCATTTAGCAGGTATGGCTTACTATCACTGCTTTGCAAGGTTGAGAAAAGTTGCATGCCTCTTACTAGTTTGCATCTGAACTAGTAGAAAAGCAGTTGCTGCATTATTATCCAATCTATGAGTGGGTTAGTTGATTTTAAAATCAGAAACTATCAGTAGCGCAGTTTTTCTTGTGCAAATTTCTGTTCATCTCAGGATACAAAATCATTTTGCACACTTCCTTCAGGAATGCAAATAATTAGCAGTATAGACCAAACTTCAAACCTGTTCCTTTTCTAGTCATTGGACTTCAGCTGTGATTATCAGCAAGTATTGCCAAAAGAGCTGAAATCCAACATGTAGACAGCCCCTGGTTGGGAAAAGCTGATATAGGCATTCTTTCTAGTGGGAAAGAATGTTCCATTCTATCACATTCCTTTTCATTCTCTTGTGAATGTTAATCATCCCAAATTCAAGCATGCACAAAAATATTCATCACTGCTACATTCTGAATAGCACACCTAAATTTGCATATATTCAAATTTTTGTATTAATTTCAATTCCCATCTACCTCGGATATATGTAGACCTAAATTCTTTGTTTTTCTTGGTGAACTTTACTCACCCTTCCACTTTTTACTAATTTCTTAATTATGATCATTTGAACCTGTACAGTGGTAGCAGTCTTCATAGAAGAGAAATTCTGAAAGGTGCCCTTTTTAAAAATACCTCTTGATTATTAAATCCATTTCATAAGGGACTAATACAGGCCACTGACTGGCAAGAGAATGAGATAAACAATTTCATGAAGAAACGGAGAAGAGTGGGCGGCTTCCAAAAATGTCATAGTCCAAGAAGAACCTTAGGTTTATGAACTAACTCAATAAATAATCTATACAAAAACTGGAATGACTTAATGCTTATTGGATGAACTCCTATATAATAGTTCCCCCCAGCTTGGTGCCTTCAGTTTCTATAGCTAACCTTCAACCTATATGTAGCCAATACATTTTGAGAACATCAGGCGGGGAGCTTCTTCTGGGGAGTGTGGTTCTGAGACTTGCATATCTTTTCATTGTTGATGTTTCCTTCTTTTCACAGGGAACTGAATGGAAACAATATCACTCGGATCAGTAAACATGACTTTGCTGGGCTGAAGCAGCTGAGAGTTCTGTGAGTGATTTTTCATAATAAAACATAATTGCCTTGCTCCTTGCTCTGTCTCAATATCACTCAAATTTTATGCCAGGTATTCCTTTTAGTTGACAGTGGCCCTAGTCCCATAAAAGGATGGGTCCCTGCTTGAAGGAAGATGCATGCTCCTATGCAAAGACAAGAAACATGACTTCCACTTACTAGGGTAATAAGTGTGCCCTTTGTCCCCCTGTTTGTTCCTTTAGGTATCCAAGTTCTGATTCTTGTGTCATTCTTATAGGCAGCTGATGGAAAACCAGATCAACGTGGTGGAACGAGGAGCGTTTGATGACATGAAAGAACTAGAGCGACTGTGAGTGTCTCAGGGCTCTGGATGTGCTATGAAAGTTGGTGGTGGGAAAAATACCAGAGAACGAAAAAGAGATGCAATTTCCTAATAGATATCTCCACTTTTTCCTCTCAACCAAACCATGCATTCACAAGCATGAGTTAGGGTTCCCATTGGACTTCCCATTCCTTGATAAATTAAAAGTGGAATTAAGCAGGGATAGGAAGAACACACCTTATGGTTCAAAGGCAATTGATTCCATTACCTAGATCAAGCATAATTTCTCTCTGCCCCCACCCTCCTGCTCATATGAGCAGATGGTGCAAGATCTATGTGATTTTACACTCATCTTGAACAGCTTGGCTGACATTTATACCCAGATGCTTTTCAATCTGTTTGCCATTCTTTTCAGGTCCAAAATAATTTTTAGCAAGAAGCATCAAGTCAGGGACAGTGCATAGACCTGTCTCAGCAACATCTGCATGTTTTCTTCTTAGCAACTGTAAAAGAGACCCCTTAAACACTTGCTGCTTCTCTCCTTAAACAGTTACTTAACTGTGCCATGCTCAGAAAGATAGAATAGTCCCAGTGTAATGTTGACTGATGTCCAATATCCTTAGACCCTGTCAACATTTAAGTTGGCATTTCTTGTAATAGAGATATGCCATCTATAAACTGGCACGCACCATGAAAGCTTTCTGTTTACTTTTGGGTGGATTTTCTGTGTCATATTAGCCTTTCTCCTTATTTCTGTACTCTTCCATCACCATCACCATCCACTAGAACAGAGGTATCAAACTCGCATCGTCACGTTGTCATCATGTGGTGTATCGTGACTTCCCCCCCCCCTTCGTTAAATCAGGGCAGGCATGGCCAGCTTGTGATGCATCTGGCCCACGGGCTGCAAGTTTAACACCCCTACTTTAGAAAAAAAAAATCTGCCTCCATGGTGCTATTCTATGACTCAGTACCTTACTTGCTGTTGCAGCATTAATATTTTCTGCTCTTCAGTGGTGGCTCTTATCCAGGATGACAATGAAGATGCTTATAGGGAAGAGGTGAAGGCTCTGGTGGACTGTGAATAAAACTCGTGACCCGTCAAAACCGCGGTCCACTAAAGCGCGCCCGATCAAAGCGCGTACGTGACGTCATCAGCAGCGC